CACCAATATATATTTAATGGCAACCGAAGAAGCTTGGGTGGCGTAATTGGTTATGTATTCGACTGCTAACTGCAAGGGCAGCAGTTTGAAATGATCAACCATTGCAAGGGAGAAAGATGAGGTTTTCTGCTCCCCTAAAGATTTATAATCTCAGAAATCCAAAGGGGCAATTCTTGTCTGTCCTGTAGGCTCACCATGACTCAGAATCTCCTCTGTGACAGTGGCTTTGGACTTTGGTTTTAATGCGGCCTTAGTGGGTTAATGGGTTAAGCACTGGGCTAACTGCAAGATTGGTGTTCAAACTCAACATCTGCTCTGCAGGAGAACGATGAAGCTATCTGCTCCTATGAAGATGCATCATCTCAGAAACTCTCCTATAATGTCGCTATGCATCGGAATCAACTCAATAGCGGTGGGATTGAGTAAAGCCAGATGTGTTCAGGCCCCTGCTAATTAAGTAGCAAGCACTGAAGAAGATCTGTCCAATCTGAAGCCTTCTGGTGTTTATTTGCATTTTCCTAGACAGGAAACAAAGATGTCACTTGGAGGGATAAGGTACACCTTACTTAAGTCATGGCATTTCCAATCACTTCATCTGATGCAAAAGCTGGGCAATGAATATGAGGATCAAAGAAGAGTTGATTCCTTTGAATTAGGGTGTTAACGAAGACTATCAAAGATACCATGAACTGCCAGCCTCGAGGGTTGCAATGAGTTCGCATTTACTCGATGGCAGTGAGTTTGGTTTGGTATAGTTTGGTACGGACTGGCAGGAGAATCAACAAATCTGTCTCGGAAGGAGTGCAGCCAAAATGCTCCTTAGAAGTGAGGATGGCAAGACTTCATCGGAAGTACTTTGGACCCATTATCTGAAGGGACCAGTCCCTGGAGAAGGACACCATGCTTGGTCCAGCAAAAGTGAAGACCCTCAATGAGCTAGATGGAGACAGCGGTGGCAACAGTGGATTACAAAATAAGACCATGCAATAGTTTCTCCTGTTAGGCAGAGGTTGTTAAGAGACAGAACCAACTCGAGGGCACCTAACAACAACAACAGACAGGAAGCTAATCATCGGGCCAGTCCTATTTAATCCCATTCATGAAGGAATCCTATCTGGGCTTGTGATCTTTTCTATTACTCATCACTCCTTCCATCCTGAGATGGGCCAGATCTTGGATCCCATAAGAGGGACCCAAATGTCTGCCTGATCTGGAGGGGCCTTGAAGCTGATTCAGAGGCCACCAGGAGATGAATGGACAAGCCCAAGGTGTTACATGTCAACAATGGTATTATAATTAGCAACTAGGAGAAGTGAAGTGTTGAGACACGTTACACTATAAATGGGGCCGGAAGACATTATGCTCCATGAAATAAGTCAGTCACAGAAGGATAAATATTATATGACATTAGTTTATAAAAAGGCTATAACAGGGCTTCTGGCAAGAAGGTGGACTAGACAGACATGCTCTCTAAATCCTCTACAACAAAGACACAAGACACTAGTGAAATGAAACAGAAATGATGATAATTTTGGAACCCTAAGTTTCAGAGGGAAAGATAGAGAAGTGGGCTGAATTTTGGACAAGGGAAAGAAGCTGAACAAATGTGGCTAGAGAGGAGACAGATAGAATGGGTGAATTGTCAGCTGGTCTAACATAGCACAACCTTAGCAAGCAGCATTTGATTGGGGTGTGGCCTGAAAACAGTACCACACCAATGGCTGGAGCCACAAAGTTACCTTGGCCACGTGGCACAGCCACACTTGTGCTTCCTGCAGCCCCCATCTGCTGTGTGAGGGCCACAAATTGCTCCCGTGCCACTTACATCAATGATCTAGAGTGGCCAACTGAACCTTCAACTGGGCTATCCTAACAGCTAACAGAAAACTGCTCACCCACTCGCCCTCTCTATCACACCCATCAGGAGTCAGATGGCGAATGCCCAAGAACACAGCAGCAGACAGTGATCAATTAAATACAAATACGACAACACCACAATATCTCAGAGACAACAGACAATTTCAGTTCACATAAAGAAGTAAGACCAACTCAGCATAATGTTTTCCAAATTCATGCATTTTTGAGGGGTTTCTAAGATTCATCATGTTTTTTTTTAACATTGTATAGTATCCCATTGAAATAGTCCTAGTGGCAGAGTGGGTTATGAGCTTGGCTGTCAATTGCAAGATCCACAGTTCAAACCCACCAGCAGCTCCTTGGAGAGAGATGAGGCTATCTGCTCCGGTAAAGGTTGAAAGCCTCAAAACTCTACAAGGGCAGTTCTACTCTGTCCTCTCAGGTCACTATCAAGTCAACGGAAGTGAGTGTTCCATTGTGTGTATGGACCAAAGTAAACTTACCTATCCTTATTTGTAAAGATTTTGATATCAAGGATGCTATAAAAATCTAAACGTCTCAAAATGAATTAATTTAATAAATTATAATACTAAAAAAAGTTTCATTTATAAGCACATACATGTCCTAAAAAAACAAAGCAGAATACCTTTAAAATAATATTATTTAATTTAATAATACCATCTGGGAGAAAAAACTATATTTTCATAAATGCTTTTGCCTTAGAAAGCCTTGTTATACTGAATAAAACAATGCATTTTTCTACAGTGCACTCTTCAAATGGACTGCCTAATCAAGAGTCATGAGAAGCACATTGTTTTGCTGCTGAGGTTCAGGGTGACCTCACAGAGGGAAAGCAGGAAGAAGCTAGAAGGCTTGTTAGGTTAAAAGAGAAGCTCTCAAGATAGAATCTCATCCACCTTCCTGGTGACTCACAAGCAGATTTCATCAAAACAGCTGCCATCTTGGGTAAGAAGCACACACTCATTGCCTCTCTGAAGTCAACCAGCAGGCTTAGAAGGTCATTGCCAGTTTCCCTTATGTTGGTCTATGTTACAATGATTAATAAGTCTAACATTCTTAAAACCACACAATGTAAAACAAAGCAACACAACAAGTAGCTCTATCACGTCAAGCTATTTCAGTTAGGTTAACCTATCTTAATATTACCCAAAGCTTTCTTCCAATGTGGCTACTGATTTTCTAAAGAATTCTTGGCAATCCCATGCCAGCATGTACTGCACGAGTAGATGTCTCGCCTGATAAACATATGCTTCAAATCAGGCCAGGAACTGCTGCCTGTTTCCTCTGCAAATGTATTCCAAGATCTGGTCATTGCACCCAAAACACACACACACACACACACACACACACACACACAGACAACAGCACTTAATAACAGTGACATGGTATGTTGAGTTTCTCAGGATTTTGTGTCAAAAGATTGATATTCCTGTAGTACCCCTCACCAGTGTGCACATAATAAAGTCAGTGACTCAGTGCCCCTTTAAACATAAATGCCCAAACATAGCACTAATATCCGGATTTTCTCTGGGTCACTAAAACCTGGGAATACACCACTGGAGATTCAGATCAAACTGCCTGCAAGAGAGCAGATAAAGTGTTTGCAAGTAGAATGAATAAACAAAAGTCTACTCAACCATATACATAATATTAAACACATTTTTCCGGAGAAAGGAAAAACACACACATGGAAACACATTTTATCAAAGTGATCACTAAAATCCCAAATAAATTGTAGTATGTTCAGTTTACAGCATAAACTCCAAACCAGCATTCTGATAAGGGAAAAAGGGAAAAGAAATCCTAGAATATAATTTTAGGTTCTTACAAGTTTACCTGGTATTTTTTTTCCCTGTAAGAGATTGTCAGATTATTTCTCCTTGCCTGGAGATAACTTTGGCTGGAAAGCAGAAAACACTTTAACAGTTCACAGATGAAAACCCACACAAGACTTAATAAGAGTCTTGGAAAATCCCATAACACAGTTTCCAAAATCCCAAAGTACTAAACCATGGACTCCCAAGTACTTAGCCATGGAATGGGGTGAAGTCAAACACCACTTTTCTAGCCTCAACAACCCCTATCCTCTAGAAATCCCATTAGGAAAGACAACTTTGGATTCTGTCGACCATGTAATTAATGGTGTAGGGAAAAAAGACATCTTAAATTCAAATATATTTTATAGGTCCCAATTATTAAGTCTTAAACAGGACAAAAACAAGGCAAAGATAAAACAAAAGGTTTAGATAAAGGAGACCATCAGTCTGAGGCCATGATGGTGACCAAGGTATTCACAGCTGTGTGGCTACTGAGATAGAACCCATCATAAACTAAGGACATTGCCACAAAATTATAATTGGCTGGCAATCAATTCATCACATTCGAAACAGGACAGAAAAAGTGAGAAAGGGTCTATGCTTGCATTGCATACAATACTTACAACAATTTAAAAGTAACTATTAGAAAACCTTGCAAGGTTGGTTCAGGGCCCTCCAACAACATGTGATGGCATCTGACTCATGACGATGTGACCTTAGTACCCCAATTTTCAGCGAGGACACACCCAGGCAAGTTCCTGAGGGCTAAATCGCCACCTTCCAGCAAGGTAGAAGCAAATATATTCGACCCGAGGGCAAAGGATTTTACATGCTGGCCAATGATCAAAAAGAGCTGAATGGAGGGAGGCTCAAACTCTGTGGAGACTTGAAATACATTTAGGGCTCACATTGTAAACTGTAGCCTTCTGCACACGTAGTACATAAAATGTAAGCACTGCTATGTTACTCAGTGAATGGAGGGTCAGAAAGTTTAAAACTATCATGTCTCGTAATTCTGCTTCCAATAGGATGCAGTGGCAGATTGGTAATACCCTCTGCATGTAATAATAACGAACCCATCTGAAAGATCAGAAATAATAGTATTGAAGATACTGAATATCAGACGGTGAAAGATAGCGAACCTTAAAAGATAAGAAACAAATTAGACGGGTCTATCTTACTGCCTTGTTAAAATTGCCATGTTGAACTACAGGGAGTGAAAACTTGGATACAGAGCAGTACACAGGAGAATTCTGAAAATGTGCAGCGGACTCCTCGGAAGTTTCCACAGAAAATTACCTATATTCGCTCACTTTAGAAGCATATATACTAAAATTGGAACCATAGAGAAATTAGCATGGCCCCAGAGCAAGGATGACATGCTAATTCATGAAGTGGCTCATCTTTTAGAAAGAAAGAAAGAAAGAGAGAGAGAGGGAGAGAGAGAGAGAGAGAGAGAAAGAGAGAGAGAGAGAGAGAGAAAGTTACCTACATTGGGGAATGAATTAGAAGAATTAGAGGGAATAATTCCTTCTGCTCCTGGAGTTTTGTTCCCATCAGGCACCCTGGAAAACCACAGAGCAATAGATGTCAGAATGATCATAAGTCAGTAGACTAAATGCTGTTAAATGTGAAAAACAAGACCTTAAATGAGCAAATTCTTTCCTAGCAACTTAGTTGAGTACCAAAACAAAGCTCACGGCTACCTATGGAAATACAAACAAGCACCAACACTAGAGGAAAATCAAACAAAACCGGTTGCGGTAGACAGAAGGCTTGAGCTGTGGGATGACATCAAGAACACCAGACATGAAAAGAGCAAAAGATGTTTTTTTAAATAAGGAAGAATGAAAGATCAACGTGCATGACAGAAAAGACTCTGAGACTTGCTCTCAATTGTAAAGCAGCTAAGGCAAATGGAAGAAATCTTGAAGTAAAGAGCTTATTGAAAAGATAAAATAAAATGTTATAATGAAACATGCAAAGACCTAGAGTTAGAAAACCAAAAAGGAAGAATAGGCTTAGCATGTCTTAAGCTGAAAGAACTGGGGGGGAAATTATTCAAGTCCTGAGTTGAAATGTTGACGAATACATGGGCAAAATATTGAGTGATGCAGGAAGCATCAGAAGAAGATGGAAAGAGGCGGGGGACAAAAGAGGAGCTGCTACCAAGGGCTCAAATAGAAAGTCCATGTTTACAAAATGATGATGGCAACATATGTACAAATATGCTTGATACAACGGACGTGTGGAATGGTATGAGACCTGTAAGAGCCCCCAATAGATTGATTTTTAAAAAGAAGATGGCGCGAATACACACCGTCACTGTACCAAAAAGAACGAGTTGATATCCCACCATTTCAAGAGGTTGCATGTATATGAGCAAGAATGGATAGTGCTAAAGTGAAAGTCCAAGCTGCCCTGAAGGCTTTAGCCAAAAACAAGGCTCCAGAAATTGATGGAATTCCGACTGGAATGTTTCAATGAGATGATGAAGCCCCGAAGCACTCACTAGTCTATGCCAAGAGAGTTGAAAGACAGCGATCTGGCCAACTGACCAGAGTGATATAGATTTGTACCCATTCCAATGTAAGATTTCCTGTAAGATAATTTAGAGACCTGTAAGATAATATGGATAACTCTTATCTTACATTACAAACAGGTTCGAGAGGGTATGATTTGCAATGAGAACACTTATACACAAAAGGGAAGCCAAAGTTAGGGTGCAGGGGTCCCTGCAGTATAGACACTCCAGGGCTACAAACTTTATTAGGGGCAGATGTAAACAAATGACAGGTTTACACCCAAAAGACAGTTTACAATTCTTTGAGGGTATGCAAAGGAGCCTTAACACTTCAGTCAAGTTATCAATAGACAGAAGGGAAGGATTAGGCTAGGAACATGAAGTAACTGATAAGTTTGCAGCTGGCTGCTTTCTGCAGCTTTTGCCAGGGCACAGGAGGCAAAGTATCCGTTTTGTCTCAGGTGGAGAGACAGACCAGCAGTTGCTTCATCAGCTCCCCTAGATGAGCCATCAGCATGCTTTCATGACCTTGAGCAATGGAAGGTGATGGTCCTGACCCTTTTGCCTAAGGTACAAACAGCTTTTTCCCCAGTTACCCAAAAACTACTTTCAGATTCTAGAGCAATATCATTAATACCACACACAAGGAGCATTTTGCTTCAGATCCTACAACAACAGTTGCAGCAGTACATTGGCAGGGATTGCCAGAACTTCAGGCCAGATAGAGAAGAGGATGTGGAGCAAGGTCTATCATTGCTGATGCCGGACGTCTTGGCTGAAAGTAAAGAATACCAGAGAGATGCTTGCTTGTATTTTATTGACTATGCTAAGGCATTCGACTGTATGGACCATAGCAAACTGTGGATAGCTTTGAGAAGAATGGGAATTCCAGAACAATCCCGTGTGCTCATGCAGAACCTGTACATGGATCAAGAGGCAGTTGTGTGAACAGAACTAGTGCATGGTTTAAAAAATGAAGAAAGGTGTGCATCAGGTTGTAGCCTCTGACCACACTTATTCAAACTGTATGCTGAGCAAAAATCAGAAGTTTGACTATCTGAAGAAGAATGTGTATCAGGACTGGAGGAAGGCTTATTAGCAACCTTCGATATGCAGATCACACAACCTTGTTTGCTGAAAGCAATGAGTACATGAAGCACTTACTGATGAAGATGAAGGATTGCAGCTTCCAATATGGATTACAATTTAATATAAAGAAAACCAAAATTCTCATGACCAGACCAGTAGATAACCTTGTGATAAATGGAGAAAGGTAGTTGTCAAGGATTTTATCTTGCTTGGCACTATGAACAGTGCAGTCGAGATCAAATGACACATTGCATTGGTTAAATCTGCTGCGCAAGATCTTTTTAACGTGTTGAAAAGCAAGGATGTTACTTTGAAGACCTGACCCAAACAAGTCGTATTTTCCGTTACCTTACAGGCATGTGAAAATTGGACATTGAATAAGGAAGACCAAAGGAAAATTGATGCACTGGAATTATGGCGTGGTGATGACTATTGAAAGCACCGCAGGCTGCCAAAAGAACAGACAGATCTGTGGGGGAGGAAAGATAGCCAGGATGCGCCTTCGAAGCAAAACAGCAAGACTTTGTCTTGGGCACTTTGGGCAAATCAGGAGAGACCAGTTCCTGGAAAAGGACATGCTATGCTTGGCAAAATAGAGGCCAGCGAAAAAGAGGAAACCACGTAACTTGATGGATTGATACCGTGGCTGCAAAACGGGGCTCGAACATGAACCATTGTGAGGAAGCTACAGGAGCAGCAGTGGTTTGTTCCGTTGTGTGTGGGGTTGCAATGGTTTGGAACTGGCTCTATAGCACCTAACAGCAACTACCGATTAATATCATCGTCCACATCACAGCAGATATTCTTACCAGGAATAAAGATGACCAGAAAGTGAATATCCTAAGTGTGTGATTAATTTTTACAAATCAATGTGAGGTAGTTTATTGTGCCAACCTGGCCGATTAACCCATGTAGGGTTAATTGAAGGGCAGAAGGATAAATGACTCAGTGAGCCTCGCCTTTCTAGTTCTCGGGTCTCTTGCTTTCTGATGGTCGGACCAGGGTGTACCTGCCTTAATCAGTCCCCTGCTTCAGCTGGTAAGGCTCACTTCCTGCAAGATATCCCTGAGGAAAAGCCACATGGACCTACCCTGATGCAGCCCTGAGTGCTGGAGCACCTGTGTGGAGACCCCTGCCAGCACTATGATGTTTACACATTCACTAACAGTTGGCATCATTGTGTCTGTTTTGTGAGATGGAGGAGGACTTTGTGGATTGGTGTTGGACAGTTGGGTTAATGGGTTAATGTTGGACTTGTGGGCTTGGGCAGCACTGGGTTGGGATGTTTTCTTGATGCGCACTTAACTTTTATATAAAACTCTCTCTTAAACATGAGTTTCTGTGGGTTTGTTTCTTTAAAGTATCCAGACTAACACACACGCACACACACACACACACACACACACACACACACACAAGAACCCTCTCCCCTACATATCCAAGTCCACAACAAATCACAGACAGTCACAATTTGAGGATGACAACCTCCTTCGTGGATTAACGTGAATTCTTTTCAGAACTAACTTCTAAAGTAGGGAGAAGGTCTTCTCCAGGTTGGGGGAAAAGGAATCTAATGTTTAGAGACAGTATCATCTTTCCCCACTTTCCATAGCTGGTGGTGATGCTGCACACGCTGGCTGCAGGATGCTTTGTCATTCACCCGTGGACCATGCTGGAAAGAGCAAAGAAGAAATTTAAATTTCTCAGCATTTTATTTTTATATTTAATACACATTAAGTGGACACTGACACAAATTTACCACAATTAAAATAGCACCAAGATATTTTGAGTTTCATCCGGCTAACAGACACAAAAAATCCTAATAATCTTCAGAATGAATGAAGCTATGGGGAAGTAGGCCATCTTCCTTATTGTTGGTACAAGTGTGTGTCTGACAACCTTTCTGTATAGTACGCATGAAGGAGGAGGAAAGAAGCAGGTATAGATCTGGTCGGAAGCTCACGAAATATCAGTGGGGTTAGCTTTTGCCTAAATCAACTCCAACCTAATAGGGGACCCGACTAACTGCATAAAAGACGGAGAGTCACAAGGCCTGGATTTAATTTCCAGCTTTGCCACTAACTCAATGTGTAAACTTGGAGTATGGAAGCTACAGTTTGCTCTATGGATTGAAAGAGCTATATAAAAGTTAAGCAGTTGTTATTAACTAATTTTACTTTATTGTTTAATCTTTTAGGATGAAGACCCAACATCTGTAGTCACAATATGCGCATGGATGCATGTGGAGGGGGCAGAGCATTGACAAAATAATTGTCTCTAAAAGAAAGGAAGTTCTGAGAGTGAGTTTTTTCACAGGGGATGCAGAGATAGAAGTAGGACCTGCCGTCTGGAAAGAGGGTTAAGACACGCCCCAAACTGTGACTAGTCATTTTTAGCTGAGCATGGCTATTTGCTCATGATCTGACCCTATATTGCCTTTGGCCTCTTGGGATTGGACTGAGGTTTCTCTCACAGATCCGAGCCTCAGCCCTGGAAGTCTTTCAGTTAATAAATGAATCCATCCAGTCACCCTTTGTACTTGAATATTTTGCTCTTCCTTCTGTCTGATGCTCTATTGACTGGTGGGTGGCTTAATTATTGATCTTTAAAACCAAGGTAACTTCTTCCTTACAGAAGGAAGGTTAATAGATGCAGAAAGAATGAAGTAAATGAGAGGTCACTCGTAGAGTGCTATAGTAATAACCAGTACAGGTAAGATCCACGAATAGATAAGGAAATTTATGGATGAAAGCTTAATCAGAAGATTAGTAATCACAAAGAGAACAGTTGATGGTG